ATGAGTTAGGTGACCCAAGATCTGTAGCTGAAGCACTTCACACACGGAAAGAGGGTAAGATTTATTCATCACTCAATAATATAAATTGCTACATTTTTATAGCTCCTTCATTATAACTAATATGTTTAAAGTGTTCTTTACTCTGAATAAGTTGGTGAAGAATCTTCTGAGACTCTTGGCAATGAGCGATCAAGACGGGCTTCTCAAATGGCTGAGATTGAGGATCTACAGGCACCTTCAGAACCCCCAGTTGCACCATTATCTATCAAGGTATCTTTGTTTTTTAATTCTAAAAAACATTTCATCTAGGCTAATTTTATATGTAACGCACAATTGCTTTATTTGTGAATTAGGATCCTCGTGACTATTTTGATTCTCAGCAAGCTAATGCAATCAAAACACTTGAGGATTCTGTAGTTGGCAACAGACGCTATAAATTTAGAGTGAGCACCTTAGACGCTTTTAGCTCCTTGAAAGGATTTATTTCAGAAATCAATTCACAGGGGTTACTAGAGCCAATAGTAAGCCCTGAAGCTGCTTTTAAGGTAAATAGGTGCATTTTTATTTCTTTATTTAGGTGGTTATATATCATTTCAGGAGTAAAACTATGGATATTTATTACAGAAATTGTCCTAAATGGGAGTAGAAACATTGTGAAATTCCAAAATAAGTACCACGTCTTTTCCCTAAATGGGAGTAGTTATGCTTGGAAGTTACTGCCAGTTATGGCTTTAATACTGCCATGAAAATGCCTGATAATGTCAAAATATGGCAGTATGATTTCAGGATGGCATTCCTATTTTCCATCATTTGCCATGGAGACAAAGATTCATTATTTTTTGGCTAGAGATTATGATGGAATAAAGCAAAATGGCTCACTAAGCTGTCTGCGCTTCTTTGTTATGGAGCAGCAGTCAGTCCATGCAATCTTGTACGCGATTTTCACTATGGGTCATCCGGAAACAGTCTCTCTGTGCTTTAGTACAAGGGTAAGACTGCGTACATCTGACCCCCCTTACCCCACCGTAGGTGGGAGCCTTTGCGGCACTGGGGTAAATGAAAATGAAAATGAAAATTCCTATTTTTGAATTTTACATTGTTTTTACTCCTATTTTGAGAAATTTCCCTGTTATTATTCATTGGAGAGTATAGCCCCACTCTTCATCATTAGGGAAACAATCAGTCAGTCTTGTATATCCTTCAACGATCTGGATTTAGTTATGATCATAATGTTTTGTTTTCTACTGTTTTTGTATCAATTCACTGTAAAAAGAAATCAAACCTTTTTCCTTATGCAGGTGTTCAGTACATTGACTCAGACCATATCGAGTACCAAATATAACCTTGGAAAAAACCCCCATGATAGTGTTTTGGATAGGTTGCCAAATGCAACCAAGGATGAACTGCTACATGTTAGTCATATCTTTTGTACTTTCGTTAAATTTCAGTACTGGTGATACCTAACACAAATAAATTTATTATAGCACTGGACAGCAATCCAGGAATTATTAAAGCATTTCTGGTCCTCTTATCCAGTCACAACCAAATACTTTTATGCCAAGGTAAGTTGCCGGTTTATTTGTATGAACTTTCTAGTGAGTGATTTGCCCCCTTGCAATTACTAATCCAACGTATTTCAGTGCCTCCCATATTAATCTGTGTGGTCTAATTTACCTGATATTCCCAATATTACTCTCTGAATCAGCCTGAATCTGTTTCAACTAACATTTATTCTCTTACGTGTAGTCTAATAATAATAAGTTATTTATAATTTCGTAATCATTTTAATTTACTACTCCGTATAAAATTTTATGTAGATTTTAAATATACTAAAACTGAATTAGATCTTTCAAAAAATTATAATCCATACAATTTTTTTATACGGATCCATACAATTAGGAATATTTTGGGAATAAGGCTTGGATGTTGTTGTATTTAAATAACTAGGAGTCCGTTTGGTGACCCTGTTTTTCGGCTTATCAGTTTTATCAACTAACTTTTTCACAAAACACGTAACTTTTGAATATGTGCGTTGAATTGTGTAGTAATCAAAATAAGTAAGGATGAAGTTATTTTTCTGGCTGAATTGATTGAAGTTACGGTAGAAGACCCTCTATTTTTTCACATAATTTTTTCTTTATTTTATTAACAAAATATATTTTAAATATAATTTTTCAGAAATTAGCAGAATTAGCCAATCCAACCACTTCAAACATAACTTCATAAATTTCAGCACAATCAACCGATTCAACCAATTTCAGTGTTACCAAACGGGCTCTAGATCTTACAATTTAATTTTTAAATTTTAAATATTTTTAATCAAGTCACGTCATCCATGCGCATCTTATTTTTGGGACAGATGGACTATTAGTTGCGAGAGTTTTACCCTAAGGTAGGATTATCTTTCTTTGTTGGTCCTTACCTAAAACCCTAACCTCTTCTGAGTTGGATTACACTGGCTTTTGTTCAACAGGTAACGAAATTGAAGGATGCAATGTCACAAATATATCTGAAGCTACAGGTAATGTGAAGATGAGCTCCATTTGAAAACATCAGTCCATAATCATTGGGGAAAAGACTTGTACTTCTTTTTTCATACCATGAGGGAAGTATTAGCAAAGTAATAATGTAATATCGATGGTTCTCATTGTTTACGGATTTAGAGCAGTATAAATTCTTTGGTTCCATTCGTAGTACTGCCAGTTTTTTATGCTTTAAAGGCAAATGCATAGGTTGTATAGTACACAAAAAAGTAGTCATGCTTACTAATCATGTTAGTTATGACTTGTGAACATCATTTTTTTGTTGTTTCCAAAATTTTGTTTTCATAATTAAAAAATGGAAAACTGGAGACAAAATAATTACAACTGAGCCCTAAACTTTGTATTCCAAAATGGCAGCTGCGTGATTAATGATTTGCGTGCTTGTACAGGAGATCAAGGAATCCGTGCAGTCAGATTTGAGGCATCAAGTTTCCCTTCTTGTTCATCCAATGCTTCAGGTCAACAATGTTTCTTTCCCTTTGCTTTAGGCTCAACCGACACCCAGCAAAAAAACGAAACACTGAATTTGTATTTGTCCTTAAAACAACAACATTGCCCCAATGTCGCAAAGGCTCCTCCTACCTACGGTGGGGTAAGAGGAGTCGGATGTACGCAACCTTACTCCTGTACTAAAGCACAGAGAGATTGTTTTCGGATGATCCATGATGAAAATCGCGTCGAAAATTGCATGGAATGACTGTTGCTTCATAACAAAGAAGCGCATACAATCCAGTGAGCCATTTTATTTTATTCCATCATATTCCCAAGCCAAAAAATAGTGAGTCTTTGGCTCAATTGGAAATGATGGAAAATTGTATTTTGTCCTTGTGCTGATTAAAATTTTAAAATGTGTTGATTAGATGGGTTGGTTCTAGATTCCCTTGCAAGTTTACCTCTCACTAGATCATCCGTCATAATTTAATTGATAAATAATCTAAAGACAATTCATAAACTAAATTAGGTTTGGTTATAGTGGGGTATAACGAAAGATGGCACCAATAAAATATGGTTTCTGATGGGTTTCAAAACCTGGAGCTAATGGTGAAAATGCCTTCGTATTTTTGTTAGGCATTGGATGCTGCTTTTGCGCATTATGATGCAGATTTACAAAAGAGATCTGAGAAAGGGGGAGTAAGCTCAAATGGTCTTATATAGAGACAGAAGAACTACTTCACCACCATTTGAGGTTGAAGCGGGTGTGTTTTACAGACACGGTTCTATTCAAACTCTACATTTCACAAAGTTTTGCAGAGCTTATACACATCCAAAATATAACATTAGAACACTGAAAATGTTGTCGCGTCATTATTGATAATACTGGTCTTATAGATTGCACATGTTGGGAACATTCGCCTTTGTTTTATCATGAATTTTTCCAAGGTTGATTTCATCTCTTTATAGATCTCTGAGTTTTTATGAATTTTTAATGAACGGTGAAGATCAAAATGTGCCAAGAAATGCGTTGAAATGTTGGCTTGATTATAATGTGTAAAATATATTACAAATATTGAGCCCAAAACATGCTTGTTTTTGGATCATAATTCCTTAATCCAAAGATTGATATGCGGGAAAGTAACTTGACGTTGTTATCATTAATGTTGATGGATAAGAAACCATCATCATCACCAACAGCACATGAACCAGGTCCATAACCATGAGAAAACCCAATACGGGACCAGCTGTTTCTTGCTAGAGTTCCCGTTCGGGACACTGGCAAGGTACAACTGGTTGTACTTTGTAGATGCAATCGGGTATTTGTAAAATTACTTTAAACTTTGAGGCTCCTTTTCTCCTCTTTCTTTGATTCCAGATCCACTGCACGTTGAGTCCTTAGCCATGGAGTCCTTAGCCATCGCCATCATCACCTGGCCTTCACCATCAACTCATCGCTCCAACCTTCACATTCACCATCATCGTGAAAAGCAGACTTCCTCTATTTTAGGAGTTCGACCAAGAGTAGATTTCATCTTACTACAACTTGATTCGTTCGACTTTCACATGGTCTCCCAAGTCCCAATCGTTGATGCTCTGGCCTGTCGGGATTCAAACATCTCTAGTCTGTCACTATTCCTCCATCTTTGGTGGTGCAGAGTTTCTCGATGACAATGTTGATGCTCTATTTAGACTAGATTCTGATGAGATTGATTTGGCAAATCGGTCCAACCCTTGTGACATCGCTCTCACATACCAAATGAGTATAACGTTTATATATACTCCGTTCATCCTGTAGAAAGGTTTCATGTTCTTTTTTTGGACATTTCATATAAAAGTTCCCATTTCTATTTTAGGAAACATATAACAATTTTAAATGAGAATTTAATCATTAAATATTTTATAAGATACATTTATAACATCAAAATTATCAATACTATCCCCATTATATTATACTTCATCTGTCACATAAAACTTGACCAAAGTTGACTTGTACGTAGATTAATAAAGTAAAAATTGTGTGGTTGAAATTTGTGTAGAGGAGAAATAAATTTAGCCACATATTCCTTACTTTAAATGCAAATGGCAAAGTTTTTTGGGATATCCAAAAAAGGAAATTTGGCCAAGTTTTAGGGGACAGAGGGATTACAAATTTAGTAAAATTATTTTTCAAAATATACTTGAATTACTTTATTTAATTATTATCTAAATAATCGTGTCATTTTGCCATGAGAATCTTTTTGTGCACCCTCTTAACTGTTGAGAAATTTCATCCCTATACATGCCGTTTGTGAAAGGACTTTTTTCATAAATGAATAACTTATTCATACTGGAAACAATTAAAAATCTTCAAAATAATTCATATTATGTATTGATCGTAATAATTAGTTAACTACTGACAAATACATACTTATAATTTAATCTTAGTTCGATTGGTGCTTCCGGCTCATACTATATGTTTTTCCTAGCATTGTCTAGAGATTTCATATTCGGTGACCCCACCTGCCAGGTGTATGTTCCCCATCATCGTTGATAGGGTGTTCTTGTCTGTTACTAAAAGGTTTGTACAAACCTAGCTAGCTAGTTCATCAACTACGTACGAATCACCATTGTGCAAGGAAGATACAATCACTTGGATTGCTTTCATTCGGGTGACTTGTGAAACCAAAACAAATTCTGCACTTCGCTCATTATTGGTGGCTGACGAAATTGGAAAACTTCATGGTCCCCTTTTGAAGGATGTTTGAAGTCGAGATGCATGTCTTCTTTCCTTCACAGATGACTAGTAAAATCGACAGTATTGATAATTATTTTTATCACAACAGGAGGAATAGTCAAGCTGCAATTAGAGTCACATCTTGGTGAGCTTGTGGTTTTCCATTGGAATTGTTTGTTTATATGTCTCATTTCATTGTAATCTTTAGTTATTTGTTTGTAATTTTTCTTCTTATTTTTATCAATAATAATTACTTTATTTACCTTTTAGAAAAAAACTACTCACAAATAATTTTGATCATTTCTAATTTTAATTGTTACTAATGCGTCAAAAAACATATTATGTATTATATATTATAAAGAAATTATCCTAAATATGGAAATTAACATTTGTGATTATACAAAATAAAATTGTTTTTATATTCTAAATAGGAGTAATTATTGTCATAGTTTTTTACCAGACATTAAACATGACAATATTTTTCAAACTTGATAGTAATTACTCCTACTTAGAAAATAAAAACATGACAACTTATTTTGAATTTCCAAAGCGTTCTTACTCCTATTTTGAGATTTTTCTCTCTAAAATATACACTTTTGAATTTCTATTAATAAACTTTAATATATTAATGATATAATTGATATTACGTGTATGTTCCAACTACTGTGAATATAAAAGCACTTCCTACAAGTGACATCCCAATTTGAACACATATATTGACCTTTAAAATAGATTAAGAAAATACGAGTAGAAGTTAATACCTCCATCCTCACAACTTTATAACTTTTCACGTTAACTTTGTCAACTTTCCTTTTTGATTGTCCCAAAAAACATTCTCATTTCCCATTAAAGAAAGTAATTTGTGGTTCTGCTCATGTTTCTCCCCTCTTCACAAATCTCTACCACACAATTTTTACTATTCTTATTTCTCACATAACTCAAAGAATGCAATGTCCATTGGAACACAGGTAGTATAGTTTTATGAAACTTAAAAATTTTATATGAAATTATTTTTTAAAAAGAATATTTCAATGTCATTTTTATATTCTAAACTTAATAATATGTAATTAGTCAAAATTTAATTCGATTGGCAAATAAATTTAAAAATAGTAATAATGACATAAGTAATGAAATTATTACATAAATATTACTCATTTAAATCCTACTTACAAATATATTACCACCGTTCATAATCAGTTAAAGAGACTTTTGATTATTCCGTATTTGACTTTGGGAGAAGTTTTCGAGTAACGGTCTTCAAGTTTCCTTCTCCCAACCAAACTGTTCGCGCTTATCTATACGAAAATCCCGCAACCTGCACTCCTACCATATCTACATCGCTCTTCACTCTCTAATTCTAGGAATTTAGCTAAAAACCCTAACCTAACCCGCTTGCATGTTGACGATTGAGTCCAAATTCTTCAATCTTTGCACCGGAAGTTGATATGCGCATGCAAGGTAAGAATCACTTAATTGGAATGACTAGGTTGCAATTTTATAACGAATAGCTGCTCTAATCTTGCATTCTTCTCCTCATTCTATAATCTCATAATTGTATAATAATGGAAATCTTTGAAAGGCCTTGGTTTCGGGACAAAAAAATGTAATGTTCAGTATGATTGGGCATAAGGATATGTGTTTTGTATTATAGGAGATTCCCTGATTGCTCAAGTCATGTTTTCCAATTCCCAGTTAATCCTTGTATGGAACTAGTATATACACATTTTTAGATATTTTAGATATTATATGACACTCTAATCTGTTTTGAGGTTGAGAAGTAGAATTGTGAAATTTACTCACACACATATTCACCAGTTTGTCTAACTGTACAATAACATCTAAAAGTTTAGCTTTCAATCTTGTTTATGTTTTAAAGACCTGCCAATCTGGGTGTTCTTACTTATTAATCAAAATATCATTTTTTGTGTCTTTCTTTTTGGGTGTGGAGTAGAAATGTTTTCCGTTTGTGTGAACCCACTTTACAGATTGTGTATCACACATATAGTTATATACCATTACGAAGTCCAAGAATTTTTAACTTCATTCCTGAATGCTACCCATGAAATGGTGATCAAGATATTGTAATGCTTGATGAATAAGCCTGATTATGCCTTTATTTCTTCCAATAAGACCCTACATATGTGATCTGTTATTATTTTGTAAATATTTTTTTTCCTTTTTGTTTTGTTTTACTTTTTGTTGTGTACTGATAAAGACTTCAGAAATCCTTTGTTTTAGTACACAAATATTTTTTATTCATACAAAACAGTTCACCCACCCCTAATGTTTTTACAATGGATCATTCCAGTTCACTTTTATGTCATTATCATAGAAGCCTTGGCAATTAAAACCTTTGCTTCAAAATGAACTCTAAGGAACTAATGGTAAGTTTAACTAACAAATAGTGAACATACTTGAAAGAAGGAATAAAAATATCTGGAATTGATGTTCTTCCTTGACAAAACAGTTAGTAACTACAATACATTATGAAGTAAAGTCAGGAAAGAAAAATTATAGAAAAAGAAGAATAAAGTAAACTACTTTTCAATGCTGCTCTTACTTCTATGTTTTTGTGAATCAGAGCATGGAAGACAATGATGATTTCACTACACCTCCGGCATCTTCAACACCATTTTTGCGGTCATCCGTGAAAGGCCCATCCACTCATAAACCTAAGCATGTAAGTGTACATTTATTTCCTCCCTGCTACTAACTATGACAGTATTAATAACTAACTTTGATGTTATGCTCCCTACAGACGTACAAGAGGCTGGTGAAAAAGTCCATAGTCTACCACGACCATTGACATTTACATGCATCATTACACCCAACGCATTACTACCAACTCAGGTGCAATACTTCATTACCTCAACTCCACACCAAATTATTACTTCATTACCAAAAAATGATCATCTATACCACACAAAATACAACCTTTACAAAACATATGCACTACTTGCAATCTTTCCTCTCAGGTACTAACAGTCATGACTGGTAACATGAAACCACTACTAGCTTCAATAGTAAACCACATAAACTTAAACAATAAAAGTAAACACCAAATCATTACGTACTAATCTACCACGACCTCACCATCGGTACCGCACAAAAATAAAACCCCTACAAATCATTGAAAGTACTTCCAAACTATCTTCTCACGTACAACCAGTCATGAAAGGTTGTACAAGACTACATTTCTGCATCTTAATTTCATGAACGTACAACACAAACTTAAACTCTAAGTCTTATCAGGTACTACACGGCATGATTGTTTATCCTAATGCATTAGTAACTTTTTAAATATCAGATTTATTTGTTAATCATTACACTCGATTCATTATTGCAAAATCACTACCAATACATCTCTACCATATTACATACCTCTTGTTTAGTCATTACCACGCGTCATTACTAAAAACACCATTTTCTGAACTCATGATCGTAATCCTATTTACATGCTTTACATTCATTTCTCAATCTTAATTACTGGATGAACATCAACCGCAAACCAAATGATATCATATTCATGCTCAAGAACTTGCTAAACAGAGGAGCCAACCTGCAAAATCCGTCTCTTCTTCACCTTCGGAACCTCAGACGATCGCCCCTAGAACTGTGTTTTATCGCATGTTTAGGAATACACCCTTCGTAGGTTACCTGTTTATGCGCTCAATTCCTGAAATTTAGCCGTTTCCATAACCGTTTCAGGGCATCGATGTCATTTCCCTGCATTACTAAAACTCCAGCGTACGTGTTTCTTAGTTTAGTCATATTTACGTAAACCCTTATACGATTAGTAATATTTATATAAAAACTCATACTACGTAAGTAATAGCTTCGGCTTATGAATAGACAATAATAAGACCCGGGTCTGATTTAGGACAGAAAGAGACTGAGAGGCCGTTTGGCAACCCTCATTTTCGGCTTATCAGACTTATCAGCCAACTTTTTTATCAAACACGTAAATTTTGCTTTCGCGCACTGAATTGTGTAATAAGCCGAAAAAGTAAGGTTGTAGTTACTTTTCTGGCTGTATTGGCTGATGTTACTGTAGATGACAATTTTAGCTATTTTTACATATAATTTTTTCTTTATTTTATTAATAAAATATATTTTAAAAATATTTTTTTCTTGTATCAGCAGAATCAGCCAATGCAGCCACTTTAGCCAGAACTTCATAAATTTCAGCAGAATCAGCCAGAACAGCCGATTTTCGTGTTGCCAAACGGGCTCTGAATTAATTAGAGACTGAAATGCACTCATATAAATCCTAAAAAAAAATAAAAAATCCCAAATCCCTCATATTTTCTTCAAGCCCCCCTGCGCAGTTCTCCGTCCATGTTGCTAGCCGCAAACGTCCAGCTTCGTAGCTTCGTTCTCCGCCACAACTGCCAGCCGAAATCGTCATCTTCTTCGCGTTCGCCGCCACCGCCTCGCTATCCGTACCGCTTCTTCTTTTCTTTTCTTTTCTGTCCGATTGTGTTGAAGGTAGACATGTAGTGGCACCAACGACTGGTAGCAAAGGCGATTGCGACCGGGGAGTGACGAAGGCTATGAATGACGGTAGTTTCAGATCTATATCTATGGCAACGAATGCTATTCGTAGGTTAATGGCCGGTGGTAGGGTTGGTGTGGCCACGGGAGGGCATGTGTAGTCGTGGTGGGCATCAGTGGGGGTTGGTGGGGCTGCGGTGGTCATCGGTGGGGCCTGGTGGGGTCGCGGTGGGCATTGGTGGGGGCGAGGTGGGCGTCAGTGGGGACTGGTGGGGGGCTAGTTGGGACTGGAGGAGGATGAATGGGACTGGTGGTAGCAGGGGCGGCCGAGAGACGAGTGGCGGTCGTCAGAAAAAATTATGTAAATGACTGTCACTTGATGGTGGTGTTCAGAGGTGCCTGGCAGCAATGACCGGCCGTGGTCACTGTCACTGTTGTTTGGTCAGTGTTACCGTGACCGGCAGTGGCGGAACCAGGACTCGTGACTCGCAGAGGCACAATAACAAAGAAATGATATACTAGTCTAGAAAAAAATCATATGCATCACGACTATAGCAATAAACAAAACTATAAAATTTAAATAAAACTATTGTTTTTGGAATGATCTGTTGCACCCATTAAAATCACTTTGTGGAAATTTATAATCACGCGGTTGGCAAGGACCTTTTCTCAAATAACGTCTCCTCAACTCATCTCTACTATTAACATCATAAGTCACAATCGGCATAACTTTTTTGTCCAGCACTTTTCTGTCCGAACGCCGTCCGAACACTGGCGTTTGGGGCGATTCCCGGCGGAATATTTTGATGAAAATTTTTGAGCATGTTCCTCATCAAGTCTAGTTTATCCATACCAAACAACAGTTCAAAATTCGATCGGGAAGGCAGTCAAATAATTCGTTGAAGTTAACTGCGCCAAATTATACATAGAAAAACGCAGTTAACTTCAACGAATTATTTGACTGCCTTCCCGATCGAATTTTGACCTGAAATTTGGTATAGATACACTAGACTTGATGAGGAACATGCTCAAAACATTTCATCAAAAAAAGCCACCTGGAACCGCCCCAAACGGCGGTGTTCGGACGACGTTCGGACTGGGAGGTGCTGGACCTGAGAATTTTTCAATATATATATATATATAAATCACCGCAGGGGCACGGACACCCCCTAGCCCTAGGGTGTGTCCGCCCCTGGTGACCGGCGTGTCACTGTGGCCAGCGGTGGTCACTGTGGTTGGCGAGGTCAGTTGGCAAGTCACTGTGGCCGGTGACGGGCTGATCATCGTGGCCGGCGACAATTGGTCACGGTGATCGGCGGTGGTAGTAGTGGACATTTTCTTAATTTGTTGGTTACTTTTAAGTTTTGGTCACTATTGGATTTTGATTACTGTACCGTTATTTTAACATTGATGAGTGAAATGATATTAGTATAAGGGGTATTATAGTCTCTTAGCCTATTTTTAGTCTTTTTTTCGGGTTCTTTTTAAAAAGGTCACTTTTTGTCCAAAGCTCTTTTTTAGTTCTCCCCCGTCACATAAAAATTGATCAAAGTTGACTTACATGTTATTGATTTTTTTGATTTGATTTGCTTGATTTTGATTTGTAATTTACAATTATCTAAATCCAATCTATTTTATTTATCTAATTTGGAAAGCATTAGTACATACTACTATTTGCATCCCATTAACATTATGACATGAAAAAATGATACAGTTATCAAGGGCATCCTCATTGGTAGGATTATTATAAGATTAAATTAAATTGATGACATCACAATTTTTTTAGAGAAGTATCATTGAATGACATAAATTGTTTAATGAGATTATTTGCTACGATAATCTGAGATCAAAATATGAATCCAAATTATTTTAAGATTATTGGAAAAGTATATGTAATAGAGGTGGGAAAAGGATCAAATAAGGTCTTCTACTATTAAAGAACTGTCACATACAGTCTTGTATTCAATAAAGTGTCATATAAATACGTCTACTTATAAAAAACAATCGAATGATTCAAAATGACCCGTTGACAACCTCGTAATTCCGACTTTAGCATACATTTGACCATCCTTTTGAAATAGATTATAATGCCAACATGAAATATTTGGTCACGGTTGGCTTAAATACAAGGCAAAAATAATGACACATAAGCTAAAATCGGGATTATGAGGTTGTCAACGGATCGTTTTGACTCATCCGATTGCTTTTTATAAGTAGACGTATTTATATGACACTGTATTGAGTACATGACCTTATGTGACGATTCCATAATAGTAGATGATCTTATTTGACTCTTTTCTCAATAGAGGTTAATACAGGACAATGAAAAAACAAATTATTTGAAGATGATGATTTAGAGACATAAATGAATTTTGAGATTATTTAAAAATTAATTACACAACAATATTTTAATGGTAAGAATCATAGAAAAAATGATTATTAAAGATCACGGCCGGCCCTGGGCTTGTCTGCCCAGTCCAACCGCACAAGGCTCGGATTTTTGAAGGGCCCAAAAAAAAAATAGTATTAGACCCAACCCATTTGGTTTTAGCCCAACAATCCAACATCTCTTCCCCCAAAATCCCCTGCTCCACGTGGCAACGCCCTTAGCTATTCCTCCTGTGCAGCAACCCCACGCCCAAGGGCCAAGACGATTCACTCCGCAGCTCCGCGTCTCCAGTCCAACCGCACACCGCACACCGCCACAACCACAGCTCCACACGCCGCCGCCTGTCGTCCAGCCTCCAGGCACCACTGCAGTCTGCACTCAACCAGCCACCCGCCTCCCTCAGACCCTCAAGCTCCAACCTGGTCGCCTCCCTCAGGCCAGTCGTCCAGACGTCCGGTCAGTCCACTGCATCCAGTTTCTTTTATTCATTTAGTTGCTAACTTGCTAATTCTTGTGAACTTTTGATTTATTGAATTGATGAATTGTTTGTTGAATTCTTTTAATTTGTTTATTTTCAGATTTAATGTTTGTTGAATTGTTGCATTGTTGTTATTTGTTGATTTTTTGCAGTTAAAGTAAATCAATATTTGAATTGATAATAAATGTGTAATTTTGTAAATGTGTTTAGCAATTAAAATTTAAGAAAGTGGTATAAATATATTATTAGGTAACTTGAGGTTGATAAATTATACTCTTTCCGTCCCAATTTACTTAGTCATATTTGACTTTTCTAGTCAAAGGTGGTAAACTTTGACCAATTATTTAAACTAATATATTTATGCAAAATTTAATAATTTTATACTTTTATGATAATATTTTTAACAAAGAACATTTTCACATTATTAATATTTTCTCTATATAAACATATAATCAGTCAAAGTTAGACGTCATTGATTTGAAAAGTCAAGTTTGGCTAAATAAAATGGGGCGGAGGGAGTAATTATACACTAGTATAATCATTCATGTTTTCACCCTAATTTTAAACTGAATATTAATTTAAAATTTATAAAAATGTACATGATTAGAGGAGAATTTAAATAATTGGTAATAATTATGTTTCCATATAAATACCAATCCGGTCATGACAAGCGTCAAAGGAAAAGAAGACTTGACGAGTTAACCCAATCTCAAAAAGGAGATCTTGATAAGTTTATTATTAAAGAAGTTAGAGATGTTCAAGAGGGTGAACAACAAGATGTGAATGTTGAAAATAATGTTGAAATACCTAATCAATGTGTTAACGAAATGGCTGAGAATCCTGATAAAGAGGACCACATAAGTGATGTTTTAGATGATAGGCCAAATAATTCTGGTTTATTTGACATATATTATCCAAGAAATTGGGATGCTCTAGATTCAAAGTTGACAGACATTTTGGTAGAGAATGATCCTAAAAGAGATTTCAATTTTGTAGAAGGGGCAACAAGAATTTTGAATTCTTTAAAAGAAATGAATTGTTTTCCAAATGCTTTTATTGCATACAGAGTTTTGCTAACCATTCCGATTTCAGTGACCTCGGCAGAACGAAGTTTTCCAAGTTGAAGTTGTTTAAGTCCTACTTGCGGTCAACTATGTCACAAGAGAAACTCACTGATTGGCGTTGATATCCATAGAATTTGAAACACTCGAAAAGATTGACATTGCAAGTTTGGTAGATGACTTTGCATCTAAATATGCTCGAAGAATGTCTCTTTTTAAATAAAAAGTAAGTTATTAATGACTTTTTTCATTTTAATCATTACGTTTATTACTCCCTCCGTCCCAAAAACAACTTCTCAGTTTGACTAGCACACACATTTAGGTAGATTAAGATTTTGGTTTGACTTTCCCAAAATTTTACTGTTTTGACACTGTTTGGACACTGTTTAGCTCTGTTTGGACACTGTTTAGCACTGTTTGACACTGTTTGACACTGTTTTGATGTTGATAATTTGCCAAATAAGGAAGTGGGAAGAAGTGTGAAGTTAATTTTGGGACATCCATTTAAGGAAGTGGGAAGAAGTGGGAAGTTGTTTTTGGGACAAAGGGAGTAGTAACTTGTATTTTAAGACAATTTGCTTGTGTTGCAATTTGAAAAAAGGCCAAAATTTTATTGTTGCACAGGACATCCGTTTTCAGGGGACCGACCCCGTTAAAGATCTATTCTAATATAAAAGCAAAAGAAGTTTTTGGAATAGTGTTCCCCCCAAGAAATGTCATCATGTTTTATTTTAATTTTTATTGGATACTTTATTTTGATTAAAATACTAATTTTCTATTGGTTGAAATGGGTGGTGGGAATAGTCAAATACTTAAACCTTATTGGTTGAAATGAGTGGTGGGAATAGTCAAATACTTAAACCTTATTGGTTGAAATGAGTGGTGGGAATAGTCAAATACTTAAACCTTATTGGTTGAAATGGGTGGTGGGAATAGTCAAATACTTAAACCTTATTGGTTGAAATGGGTGGTGGGAGTAATGAAGCTTATTGATTGTTTCCAAATTCCTAAGAGATTGCAATGGACTTTCGACTATAAAAGCAATGTGGATGCAAGAAGGTTTTCACATTCATTCATTCCCATATCAAAGCTCTACTTGCACAATACACAAGTGTTGACATTTATTTCTCTCTATGTTTCAGAGTCGAGTGCAGCAGAGATTCCTTATCTAACGTAGCATAAATATTTGGGAGACTGAAGTTAAAATACGTAGTATCAGATAACCCAACTATTTATGGTAATATATAGGAGGAGGACGAGTTCAGTCTCTTGAAGCGAGAGTTTTCTTGAAGCGAGAAAAGGTGAATATATTCTTATTTTCTAGATGTATTAAGTTATTTCAAACCTCACAGTTAGTAGGTATGTGAATTAACACTCTATTTCTTTAATTCCCAACAGGTGGATTCAACAAACCCTTTGTTGAAGTGTCAAATAAAGAAAAGAGAATCGTGCTGGAAGTTGATACAGAAAGAGTGAAGATATATCTGTTTGGAGAATTTTCTTCAACCATGCCTATGAAGAAGATGAAGGGGGTAAAGATTGAGGAGCTTAAGTCTTGATATTATTCATGGGGTTTAACTAATATGTTATAAGTATGTAGTGCTTAGC